GGCCCCGGGCGGGGCGGGGAGTACACGGTCCCCGGGCGGGTCCCCTGCGCGGCCGGCCCACGCACCTCCTCGGCCTGCTTGCGCAGCGCCTTCTCGCGCTCGTACTGGGTGAGCAGCTGCTCGTTGTCCTCGCGCAGCAGCTCCAGCTCCACCTCATGTTCCTGGTTCTCGCTGAGCACCGAGTCCAGGTTCTCGAGCACGTTGACCACGAGCGGCATGAGCTCCTTGACCACCTCCTCGTCGTAGCAGTGGATGAGGCGCTCGAACTCGCGGTAAATGGATCCCGCCAGGCCCGACACTCGCTCCGACATCACCGAGCCGGAGCAGTAGTCATCCTGATACACCACCACGCCGCCGCCCTCGTCCATCTGGATCTCCATCATCGCGGCTACCGCCGCCGCCAGCGCGGCTCACTGTCTGCCGGCGCGCTCGCCCCGGCTGCCCGTAGTCCGCGGCCCGTCGCCTCAGCCGCAGCCGCTGTCGCCTCAGGGCTCAGCCGCCGCCGTAGCTGCTGGTCCTGATGCTGCGCCCGTCACTCAGCTGCCGGAAGTCCCGCCCGCCGGCTCAGAGGGGGTGGTGTCCGCCGGTCTCGCCGCAGCCTCACGGCGCCGCGCCACTAGGGGTCGCAGGGGCCGTGACGTACGAGGAGGCTGGTCTCTGGGCCGGAAGCTCGGCGGAGCTAGGCAGGGTACACTTCCGGTCAGGCTTGTTAGCGATGCTATTCGCTAGCTCGTGTCACCTTTAGCGAGTTTCCCCGCAGCTCTCAGTCGCCTACCCGGACTTTTAGTGACTTATCATATGTCCCAAGAGCATATATAGACGATTGTGTACGGTTTAAAAACAAACGAGCATCCATGTGCCCATCCTCCCCCACTGAGAAACGGACATTATCTTTGTGCACCCCTCCAGAGGTGACTCGTGCTGACCTGGTTACGTGTTTTGTTGATTTACCTTCAGTTTTACTACACAGTAGTGCACCATCCCACACAGTAAGCACTCATAGTTTCGATTCAAATAGTGCATCTACAATTCACTGTCTCTTACGGGATTCCTGTTAAATGCAAGCTGTCCATCTCATCCTAAAATCCAGTAACAAGCTTTCATTTAGTCCACTTCCATGTCCTTTATTTTGTGTCACTTCTTCAGATTTCCCAGTTCCACTTAAGCTGTGTGTTAGCTTTCTAACTCATCCATTGAGTTTTAAATGTCAATGGTTATATTTTAAATTTCTATTTGTCCCATTTGATTTTCTTACAGCATGCACCCAAGACTTAAACTTTCAGCTTGGAGGCCACACTGGTAGTGTGAATTCTAATTAAAAAAAAAAAAAGTCCATTAGTGACAGCATAATGCTAACAGAAATGCTCTCACCCCTGCCTTTCACCTAATGAAATGCTTCAAGGTCAGTTCATCCCAATTGATAGGACCCTCTCATCCTAAACTGATTGCACCAAATCAGTGAACTTGCCCTCAACGCTATCACACACATTTCCCCCTTACAGCTTAATTTGCTGTATGGATGCTCACCCGCCCACTAAAGGATAAACTGAAGTTTCAGTCTGATTCCGATTGCCTGGCTTTTGATCCTAATTAAGTACATGAATCATCCTAAATTTCCATTTCCAAGCCTGTAAAACTGAACCTAAAAATATTACCAACTTACTAGTTATAAACTAATCCATGAAAGGGGTTTAACACCAACTCTTGCAAATAGGTGGGTGGCATGCAATAAATGTTATGTAGAATTGTTCGTTTGATATCCTCAAGATGAGCCAGGACAAACAGATGAAATGTTTTCTTCCTGATAAGCAAGCAACAGAGAAAGCTTGAGAATGTTTTGAGGAATGTTGAATGACTTCAGCCTTAGGCCTTTTTCAGAAACTGACCTCTGAATTCCTGAAGTAGCAAATGCAGTCGTAGAGCAGCCCCTGCGACCATGAGAAGCCAACTGACTTGGCCATCAACTTTATTGGTTTTTATTCCTAACATGATTAGACAGATTTGTTCCCTGAGATTGGTTAAGACAAAATGAAATTTTAAGATGATATGCTGGGTAATTCTTGATGCTTACTGTTGTGGTGTGTAATTAACCCCTGGACCTTCATACAAGGTGAAAGCATTCACAGACTCTACAAAGTAAGTTTTTATTAAAGTTGGGGCAGAGAGCATGCCCATGGCAGTATCCAAAGATGACGGCTGCCTCAGGTAGTAAGGAGAGAAACACCAGCAGAGGGTGGGAGTCGCCAGGCAGAGCCCAGAGTCTGAGAGTGGACAGCTACACTAATCTCAAGTTAGCTTTTTATTATATAGGAAAGAGGGAGACAGTCAGTCAGGTTTGAGGTTTGACATCCCTTCCTGGGTTCTGGTCTGTCTGAAGATAATGTTACCTTCGGACTCTGGACTCGGACTCAGCCATCGAGGCCTGGGACTTGAATGTGTCACCAGTAAAAACTGCAAGTTGTAAATTGGATTCCAGTGTTTGGGCACCTGAGGACTAAGAAATTGCTATTTCCCAGGTTATTAACGAGGTATGGGCAGCCTTGAGGAAGGGAACAGAGTCCTTTAGTTACTCAGTGAGGGGAGAAACGAGGAGAAAACAGGTGAATATCAGGATGGATCAAACTGCAAACAAAGTCCAATTACAGGTGGCTAGATAGGAAGCTATGCAGTGAGTTAAACTACAAACTAGTTAAGTCTAACTGCATTATTGATTCCCTGAATTTCACCCTTACACTTACTTTAGAATGCAACTAGAACACTTCTGAGAACTCAAACTAACTGAATTAGAATTTACTTAATAGGTTTCCTTTTAGATTTGTAATGATAATTTGGAATACAACTTTTTTTCTCATAAGATTCTAAAATCTAAGATAAGCACACAGGTTTCAAAAGTTCTGCATTGATTTCCACACATCTGCCCCTAATGCCTGCTAAAGTCACCTAGGTCCCTGTAATGTCCCTCATTTCTTCCTAATGCTGAATTTTCGATAGCACGTTTTAGTTACACATAAAACAGGAATATTTCATTCTTGATCTCCAAGAATGCTTAAAAGATTAACACACTGAAGATGGGGCATTTAAATATATAGACGCAAATCTGTGTCACTGGTCCACAATGTATTAAGAACATAATGAGTGCAGAAGAAATGCACTGGGTAACACAAGTGGAGGTATATACGTCCTAGAAGGTTTGATTCACAAAGATAATACAAGTTATGCTCCATCAAAAGAGCCAGTGTAGGGGCAGCCGGATACCTCAGTTGGTTGTTAGAGTGTGTGCTCTTAACAAGGTTGCCAGTTTGACTCCTACATGGGATGGTGGGCTGCACCACCCTCCACCCCCAAACTAGACTGAAAGTGGCAATTGGACTTGGAGCTGAGCTTGCACCCTCCACAACTAGAGTAAAGGACGACAACTTGACTTGGAGCTGATGGGTTCTGGAAAAACACAATGTTCCCCTTCCCCAATCTCCCAATAAAATCTTAAAAAAATAAAATAAAATAAAAAAGAGCCAGTGTATTTCTGAACAAGGCGCAGGACTTGAAGTGGCAATCCATTGATGTTATGCACTCCACCTCCCCCGCCCTCACCCCCTAAGTCCTTTCAGACTTAGTCATTGCTTAACTCTGGAGACAAATAGGTTGTGACACTCTGAGACCTCAGTGCTCACCTGGCACCTGGAGTGGCTGCTACAAATAGGTAATGTGATGCTGCCAGAGCCTACTCCAGTTCTTGGAACAAGCTGTGCACTCCCAAAACATGTCTTCAGACAAACAAACCAAGACCATGCCAGGAACCTCATGTCGGGTTTCTTTCTGAAGTGCTGTCCTCGTAGTCAGCCCCGATTCACCAGGCAGAACCGCGGAGCCTCCTATAGGGCAGGTGGGCAATCTGAGAAGTTTCAGCATCCTGAACCCACATCATGTATATAAGGATATTAAGTTTGCTGGCAGAACATATGCAAATAGCTATTATGTAAGAAAGGTGTTCAGCCTGCTTTCTCCACAGGGCTTGAACCTACAGGCAAATGCTAATAGCTCAGCACCTCATCTATTTATTACAAGGCTCATCACTGGAGCATTTCAAAGCCAACTTGGAGGCAAGCTCAATACCTTCAGTTCTTTGAAGGAAAAAAGTGGTGGAAGAGAAAAAAAATCATTAACTTACAGAAACTGAAAAGAACACTCGCATGTTCCCACTCCTTCTACTCAAAGCTAAGTCTTTGGTTTTCAAATGAAAAAAATGTAAGTCCATAATCTTTGCGAAGATTAATTTGGGCATCCTCTGGCTAAAGGGCAAAAAAAAAAAGGCAAACCCCTTCACCAATGATGGAGAGGTCAGGCACTCTGGAGATAGATGTTGAGGAAAGTGTATGCGCGCACACACATGAGCACGCACACACACACAATAGGCAAAGACTCAGTGCATGATTGCTAAGTTTAATTCAATTGTTACACCCAAGTCCACCTTGTAAAAGTAACAAAATGTTCCTATCAAAATTACAATGTGATGTGAGTACAGGTTTGTTGTTGTTTTTGATACAGCTCTAGAAAAAAGTTGGCACCAAATGCACATAAAAAGTTTTTAAGGCTTAATAAACATACAGACTGGTAATTTCTCAATGCGGCTTAGAGGTTGAGAACAGGATGCTGAGTTAACAAGTCTTCCAAATACAGACAACCACTCCCATTCCTGCTCACATGAGCACACTTGTCTTCTGCCTCTCCGGTGACCAGACTGCCCAGGCACTCTAAGCCCACTCCTATGGCCCCAGAAAGGGAAACGGGGGGATGATGGGGGGAAACGGAAGGCAGGGAACTGTCACTCCTGCCGGGCTCTTGCTATAGCCATGTTTTCCTCATTCCCCCAGGCCTCTCTTCTCATCTCAGGTTTCTGCCATCTCCACCCCAGAAATCCCTCCCAGTGGACAGAACCAGAGAGCCTCTCTCTCACTCAGCTGACAGTGAGGGTGGGGGCGAAGCCCCAAGGGCCAGCACTAGTGTCAGGATTCTTCCTGGCAACCCAATTTGGAATCCACAAATCATTCTCTTGTATATTAGGAAACAAAAGTTATAAATTGCAGTCCATTTCCACCATTAGAACATTTCACTGTAAGTTAAACAAGTTAGTGTGTTTGCGCTTAGAAGCTCACCACCATTTATGACATTTTGAAATGGGGGAACAAATGCTCTGAATTCCAAACAGCTTTCTCATAAACGGCCATTTGAAGGATAGAGACAGGAAGTACTTGATCAAGTCACATGGAATGAGTGTTTCTTCGCTCTAGAGTCAACAGGGCAACTGAAAGGAAGGAAACTCTTTGGTTGACAAAGCCACATGCGGATCCCCACAATGTGGGGGCTGTAAGAAGTGGGGCTTGGCAGGCGGCTCGTGCAGGCACTTAAGTGTCTCGGCCTGCTGCTGGGAGTGTAACTAAACACAGTTGTTGCTTTTCTCAATGTTAGTAACGATGAAGACAGTTCTAGCACCTGGCATTATTAGCTCCGTAGGCACTCGCAACAGCCAGCACCACACGAGTGAATAGAATGTAGCCCTTAAGAGGCTGAATGAGAGAAACGTCTGCCTGACCGATTAAAGCAACATGACTCTCGCCAACCCATTATCTTTTTTGGTAAATATGGAATTGGCCAGGTGAGGTTTTGCTGCCAAACTAGTTTTCTCCTAGCTTAAGGTCTCTAAGTCTCTTCTGGAAACTGAACATGGTCCAGAGGTTCTGCAAAGCTTTATAAAGGGTGGCCTAAGCAAACTTTTCTTCTTCTTTGGTGTATGTGAGCGACTGGCTTTTTTCTAGAAATGTGTCAGAAACAGACCAGAGTCAATACTCACTTATGGAAAGCTGGTGTTTTAGAATAGCTCTTTAGGTATGATTAAAAATTCGAACCTAAGAACCCAAGGTTCTCAAGCATCTCTTCTTCCCAATGTCAACAGGAAGAAAGACAAGTGAAGGACTAAAATAGCCCCATTACCTGGATGTACTTGGCTGGAGAGTTAGTCTTGCAGATGTCAGTGGGTCTCGCAGATAGAGGAACTGTCCATATTATTGCAGAAAAACAAAGGCCAAGACTTAAAGAGGACAAGAGGAGAAAAAAGGAGCCGTTCACAAGCAAAACCGGTCCATGAAGAGACTAAGACCAGACCTTGGGAGCGAAAGTCAGATTCCTGTCAGAGGACCAGGGGATGAAATCTCCCCATAAAGCATAAGACAGAGAACTTTTTGGGTTTTGTTGACAGCTGCCAAGGAAAAGCAATCAAGATGTTTCAAGAAAACACTGCAGAACGCACTGGGGCTGAGTGAAAAGGCGACCTCGGGGTTTAGCAGCGGTAGTCCCAGGAACGGAGAGGTATCCATGAAAGGTAAACAGTATTAGGAACTGAGGGGGGGATTTATTCAGAGACACCCAGTAAGTGTTTCAGCTTACGCCTAACAGACAGGTTGTTTCTGGCTTAATTTCAAAGGCTTTTAACTCTGCTGCTGTGTTAAGATTCCTAGATACCCAATTGGCTGGTGGAACGCCGATGCAAATAAAGACATGGAAGATGCCCCACTTCATCAGGTCCCCCGTGGCCTTGTACCAGCTCCCCACCTGGCCATCGTAGAGTTCCTCTCACATCCAGAATTACAAATGAGCTCTCACCAAGGAGTCACATTTTATCCCCCTAAAGATGTGTCTCTTGGCAGTCTGGAAGGCAAGGTCCTCTGTGGCTCCCATGGTGGCAATGAGCCTGAGCAGCGGCTTCAGACACATGACAGACCCTGTCCCCACCCCTGTTCCTCTGGGCTAAAGGAAACTATAGTATTTGAAATCCTATCTCTCACGTTTCTTGTATGGCTACAGGGGAAGCAATGGCTTCTCTAGTAGAAGGAGATGCTGGATTTGCCTCCAGGTGGGTTCAGGACTTTGTTGTGAGATCGCGGCCGTGGGCCCAACCTGGGCTCATGGCTGTCAACCACGGGCGTGGGCTGCGGCTCCTGGGCATGGTCCACTTCCCTCAGGGCGCCTTTCTCACCCGGCTCTTCTCTGGGCAAGGTGCTCACTGCGGCTGCGGGACAAAGTCAGCAAACCATACCATTAGAGGTTCCCCATTACCTGGGTGGGCAAACTGTACACGTGAAAGGTCTGTGACATAGACCAGCTGGCGAGAAATGCATACTGTAGGGGGTAGCCGGTTAGCTCAGTTGGTTAGAGCGTGTGCTCATAACGCCAAAGTTGCCAGTTTGATCCCCACATGGGCCACTGAGCTACGCCCTCCACAACTTGATTGAAATAACTACTTGACTTGGAGCTGATGAGTCCTGGAAAAACACACTGTTCCTCAATAAAAATTAAAAAAACAAAAAACAAAAAAAACCCATGCATACTGTAAAGGGAGGAGAGGAACAGAGCAAGGCTTCAATCTGTACCAAGACTCACAGGCTGGCAGAGGCTGTTCTGGAACTGGGCATAAAGTGGGTGTTTAGTACTATTAACGATCCTTGATAAATTCCTAAATAAGCTCATTACTGCTTTATCTTGCTTGTTGGATTCCATTCCCTTCTTTCACCTCATGGTTAAAAAGCAAACTTTCTCAAAGTGAGTATGAAAAAGAGAGGGCACCTGCCTTAACGGGCGAGGTGCGGCAAGGTTTTCTCACACTATCACTCTTGATTTTCTGAGTGATTAATTCCCATGTATCTTGGTCATCAACTGAGGGAAATGGCCGATATTAGTGCCCCATCAGTGTGGAAAACCAGTGGGGCTCAGAGTCTGACGTCCAGCCCCACCACCGGGGCGGCTCGCGCCCCAACTGATGGATGATGGAGGCACCGGTTCTCCCCAGAAACCTCACATTCTCCCTTCTCCCTGTTCCTGTCCTGTTCCCTTTATGCCCTTCTCTTCTGCATTAGTTTTGCCAGCGCTACCCTCAGTCGCGAGGATATAAAGACTTTGGATCCCTGCCCTTCCCTATACAAGCTCGGCTTCTAGAAGAGGACACCTTGGTCTTAGGCCGAGGCTGATTAGAAATGACAAGAAGTGAAGAAAACGCAGTGGTGACCAATTGGAAAGCTTTCATCAGAAATAACTGAGCCCATTTCCCTGGCCTTCTTCAAATACTAAATCCTCTGTGCGATAAACACGACCTTGCTTGTTTTTGTCAGCTGGCCTGGAAGGAGCACAGGAGTATTCGCCCTCATCCTCTGGGGCGCACCAGCAACTCTTCCAAAGGGAGAGCATTCAGGTGAAGGTACAGGAAACAGCAGCTCACCTTTAAGGTCCGATTTTGAGTCTTCTCCTTCACACAAGAGCATGTGGTCCTGCAACATGGCAAACCCAGGTCAATATGTGATTCAGAAACTTTTTACCCTCATTCAGGTGAAGGATGAAAACCAAGACATGGATGACTTTGCGTTCATTTTTAACTTCCAAAAATGTTTTTACTATGGACAACTTAAACCATACACAAAGTGCAGAGACTAGCACCACAAACCCCCACACAACCCACTGTGCAGCCAGAATGGCACCAGCTCGTGCCATCAGGCCTCAGCCACAGGTCTCCTAACCTCAGTCCCTCCACCCACTTCAGGAATGGTTTTAAAGCAAATCCCAGATATTTCATTTACCCATAAATATTTCAAGATATGGCTCTAAAAAATGCCCTTTTAAAAAATAACCATGGGCCGGCCGAGTGGCATGATGGTTGGGAACTGGCTTGGGACGCCAGAGGGCCCCGGTTCGGATTCCACATATGAGGGCTGGTGACACTGCCCTCTACAGCTAAGATGCTGAGCAGCAGCTCGACCTGGGGCTGGGCTGCCCTGGGTTGCCGGCGACGGCGTAGGCTGCAGCCCCTGTGGCAGTGGGTTGCCATGGGCTACGGTGTGTAGCCAGCAGCCAGCGTGAGCGGCCAGCAGCCGCAGTGTGCGGCCGTCCAGAAGGCGGCGACTGATCTGCCTCGCCTAGGAAGAGCGCAATGATAGTGCCAACTTGGGCCAGTGAGGCAACGTCCTCCACAGCTGGAATGAGGGGCAAGACGATAGCGACTTGTCTGTTCCCCTCCCCCCGGTTCCCCAGCACTGTTCCCATCCCCCCAATTCCCCAATAAAAAACAAAATAAATAACCATAACAACACTCTCACAACTGCAAAAATTAACAATTCCTTAAAGGTCTAACACCTCGTCAAATTTCAGAATAGTTGGAAATGTTTATAAGGCTCACCCTGGTCCTCCATGTATCAGGAACGTCATTCCTTTTTATGGCTGAATAATATCTCATTATATGTGTATAATACATTGTTTATTCATTCATCTGTTGATGGACACTTGGGTTGTTTCCACCTTTTGGTTACTGTAAATAATGCTATTAAAGCAGATGTACAAGTATCTGTTTAAGTTCCTGTTTTCAAATCTTGGGGGTATACACCTAAGAGTGGAATAGCTGGATCATATGGTAAATTCTAATTCTAAGTGCAACTTTTTCAGAAGCCACCACACTATTTTCCACAGTGGCTGTACCATTTTACATTCCCACCAGCACTGTATAGGGTTTCGATCTCTCCATATCTTCACCAACATTTGTTATTTTCTGCTTTTTGATAATAGCCATGCTAGTGGGTGTGAAGTGGTACCTTACTGTGGTTTTCATGTGTGTTTCCTTAATGACTAAGGATGTTGGGCACCTTTTTATGTGTTGATTGGCCACTTGTGCATCTTCTTTGAGGAAATATCTATTCCAGAGGTTGGCAAACTGGCTCGAGAGCCAAATGTGGCTTTGTGTACGTTCCGTCTCAAAAGTTTGCTGACTCCTGGAAGAGCCAATCCTGTCCCTCACAACAATTTAAAAATTATTCAAGAGCCATAAATATATTTTTACATAATCACATACACTTTTACATAATGTGAATAATATCTATAAAAATTTTACAAATGAAACTATGATAGTTTTATTTTCATTTTCAATTTTACTTTAGAGTCTGCGGCTCGCGAGCTGCAGTTTGCTGACCCCTGGCGGTTCTTCTGTCTCAAGTTTGCCGACCCCTGGTCTATTCAAATCATTTGCCCATTTTTGAATCAGGTTGCCTTTTTGTCGTCTGGTTGTAGGAGTTTTTTTTCTTTAATTTTCTACTTTTTGATTTATTTATCGCTACATCAATAGCGCTATTTTTTTTTTCACTATAACTTAACTGTTCCGCCATCTTGGCTCTTCCCCCTGTAGGAATTCTTTATATAGTCTGGATAGCAACCCTTTATTAGATATCTGATTTGCAAATATTCTATGAGTTGTTTTTTCATTCTCTTGATAGTGGGGTTTTTTTTTAAATTTATTTTTCAATTACGGTTGACATACAATATTATTAGTTTCAGGTGTACCACATAATGATTAGACATTTCTATACCTTAGAAGGTATATAAATCACCCTGATAAGTCTATTACCCATCTGATGGCATACATAGTTATTACACAGTACTGACTCTATCGCCTATGCTGTACTTTACATCCCTATGACTATTTTTATAACTGGTAATTTGTACTTCTTAACCCCTTTCACCTTTTCACCCATCACCCCAACCCCCTTCCCATCTGACAATCATCAATTTGTTCTCTGTATCTAAGAGTTTATGTTTTGTTTGTTCATTTCTTTTGTTTTGTTTTTTTAATTATTTTTTATTGTGAAATACACATTTTTTAGAATTAGTTTCAGCTGTACAACACAGTGGAATAGTTATACTTTTTACCCCTTGAGGTGACAACCCCCCTCCCTCAATCCGCCGCCCCACTTCCCCCCCCGCAATATCATACATATCTATTACAATTCCCTTGACTCCACTCCCACACTGTACTCCACTATTTTGTTTTTTAGATTCCACACATAAGTGAAATCATGTGGTATTTTCTTTCTCTGTCTGATTTACTTCACTTAGCATAACACCCTCTAGGTCCACCCATGTTGTTGCAGATGGCAAGATTTTATTCTTTTTTATGGCGGAGTAATATTCCATTATATATATGCACTTCGTTATCCATTCACCTATCGATGGACACTTAGATTGTTTCCACATCTTGGCTACTATAAATAATGCTGCATTGATCAGGCCGGCCGAGTGGCGCGATGGTTAAGAACTGGCTTGGGACGCCAGAGGGCCCCGGTTCGGAGCCCACATATGAGGGCCAGTGACACTGCCCTCCACAGCTAAGATGCTGAACAACAGCTCAACCTGGAGCTGGGCTGCCGTGAGTTGCCGGCGACGGCGTAGGCTACAGCCTCAGTGGCAGTGGGTTGCCATGGGCTACCGTATGTAGCCAGCAGCCAGTGTGAGCGGCCAGCAGCTGCAGTGAGTGGCGGTCCAGAAGCCGGCGACTGATCTGCCTCGCTTGGGAAGAGCGCAATGATGGTGCCAACTTGGGCCAGTGAAGCAACGTCCTCCACAACTAGACTGAAGAACAACAGCAACTTGTCTGTTCTCCTTCCCCCAATTCCCCAATAAAAATCTTGAAAAAAAAAAATGCTGCATCGATAGTATCTTTTCATATACAAAAAGATTTTAATTTTAATAAAGTCCAATTTATTTGTTTAAGTTTTTGTTGCCTGTGGTTTTGGTGTCATATTTAAGAAACCACTGTTAAATCTAAGATCATGAAGATCTGTCCCTATATTTTCTTCTAAAAATGTTATAGTTTTAGCCCTTAAATTTGGGTCTTTGATCCATTTTTAATTTTTGTATATGGTAAAAGGTAAGGGTCTGCCTTCATTATTTTTTTTTCCATGTGCATATCCAATTTTTCACCATTTGTTGAAGAGGCTGTTCTTTCCCCCATGGAATGATCTTGGCAGCTCTGTCGACATAATTAATCATAGATGTGAGAACTTATTTCTTGGCTCTCAATTCTATTCCACTGGTCTGTATGTCTATTCTTTATGCCATTGTCACGCTGTTTTGATTACTGGAGTAAGTTTTGAAATTGGGAAGAGTGAGCCTCCTACTTTGCTCTTTAAGACTGGTTGTTTGAGGTCCCTTAAGATTCCATGTGAATTTTAAGATGGGTCTTTCCATTTTTTCAACAAAAGCACTGTTGAGACTTTAAAAGGGATTGCAGTTAAGCCTTTTTGTAATCATTAGGCTCTCTCTCTCTCCTGACTGCTAGGGAATTTCCTATATTTTGGATTATGCTGATTGAATCCCTGTGGTGTCGACTAATATGAGGTTTGGTCTGATTCAAGCCTGCTTTCTTGACAAGAATTCAAAGGTGGTCCAGGATGGCCTTCTATCGTGAGACCCATAGTTTTTGGTTGTCTCTTGTTTTGTGTTAGCAGCCACTGATGATCACCGCCTAGATCCACAACTTCATCATACAATGCAGTTGTACTTACTCATGACCACTAAAAATAGTGACAATTTTATGAAATGTGAACTCCTCCGTTGTATGTGCAATTGTATAACTATTCTCTCTACCCCTCAGCCTATCTGCAGTGGGCAGTCGCTGCTGCCAACACACCAAGACGGCTTCCCCGAGGGCTCAGTCATCACAAGTTTGGAATCTATTTTTCTGATGACTCAGGGGAGCTTCGAAACTCAAGGACTAATGACTGCACCTGGGAAAAACAACGTCACCCATCTTGTCTCTTTCTAATAACATGTCCCAACGGCCTCGGCGCCTTTGAAAAGAGAACTTGGCTCCGTGCTTGCTTTGCTTACTTTCATGTCTGCTACCTGGGTGTAGTCCATACCTTAGGTTTGTTTGGGTGTGCCAAGGGCAAAGTGGCACTGACTGGAGACCCAAAAATGTCACTGGTCTTCCCACCAGGTGGGTTCAGACGCTGTCGAGTGTGCACAGGCGTTGATTCGTCAAAGATACCACTTCCTTTGCCCCCTGTAGAAAGAATCACAGAACAGTGAGCAACCCGTAACACCCACCTGCTCCTGCCTCCATATTCCTTATGTCAGAGAGCTCCTCTCATAGTAACACCTAGTCCAGTTCTGAGTTTAGGGATGATAGGATCCCTCAAGCTCTACATCAAACTCAGTCCCTTCACTAAGGGTCTGCTGGAAATTTCGTTTCTAGAACTGAGCTGAAAGGGGCTGGCCTTTAGAGGCAAGATAGTGAGATGGCATAGAACAGTATTTTCCCCTCTAGCATTTCCTTAACTTGGGAATTTTCATGCTTTCCTGTTGAAGAATCTTCTTCACTAAACCCATGAAAACCTTCTTTAATACATTAAAGGCAAACAGCTGCAAAATTTTTAGGTCAGACAGAACTGAATAACATGCCCCATTACAGGCAAACCTGTAATCTGGAAAATAACATGCATTTATTAGTCATTCTCTGACCTCATTGTGGCTGGAACTTCTGGTGACAACTAGATATGTCAGTAAATCACAGACATTTAACATCTTTGCTGCCAACTATAATATAAGTGATTTGATAAGCCATAATGAAAATATACATCCAAGATGTAACTTCTTATAAGCTGATGACTAAGGCCTGGACATGAAAAGTAAACGCCTGGGCTGGCCAAGTGGCGCATTGGTTAAGAGCTGGCTTGGGACGCCAGCTCTGAGCAGCAGGGCCCCGGTTCGGATCCCACATGAGGGCCAGTGCCACTGTGCCCGTACAGCTAAGATGGTGAACAACAGCTCGAACTGGAGCTGGGCTGCTGTGAGTCGCCGGCAACGGCATGGGCTGTAGTGGGGCTGGCCGGCAACTGGCGTGCACTTTTGTGAGCTGCCGTCCAATGGCCGGGGAGCGACTGCCTCAGCAGGGAAGAGCACAATGATCACAATACCAACATGGGCCAGTGAAGCGACGTCCTCCATAATTAGACTGAAGAACAAAAGGACAGAAACTTGTCTGTTCCCCTGCCCCAATTTCCCAACGCTGTTCCCCTCCCCCAATTCTCCAATAAAATCTTAAAAAAAAAAAGTAAATGCCTGCATTAAGCAGAAAGATGGCTACCATACGATACCAATGGGTCACCTCTCCACTCAGCAATCACCACGCACCTCCTTTCCTGAGCGCTATGCTCAGTGGAGGTGGGGCCAATACAGTCATGGCCCCGATGCAGCAAGAAGGTATAATCTTACAGGAGGAAAGAAGATGCGTTCCACTAACCAGCCATACAACCGTACACAAGTTCCCTGGCCTCCTGTGCCCCAAATTCCTCATATGTAGAGTGGGGATCATACAACGACCTTCTTCACAGATGCGTGAGAGGATTCAATGACTTACTGTAGCTCATGTCAAATGCTTAGAACAATGCCTGGGACACAGACGCTCAATAAATGTTGGTTATATTTTCTATGCACTGGACAAACTGTTCAGTGAAAAGAGGTGCAAAACAATCTATATAGCACACAATGTCTTAAGGTAAAAAGAGGGGGGTACAGCTGGATTTGTACCAAACATATTTATGTCATTTGTATTTATATAATTATAAAGTTGAATTTAGTATTATGTAAACTACTGAAACTTGAATGCAAAACTAAAATGATTATTTTAATAATAACCAAATTAAATGCTTTGAAGTGACTAAAAAAAAAAAAAGAGGGGGGTATTCTTTTTTGCTTGTATATAAATAAAGTACTTACTCCACTCCCCCCACCCCCATAAAAAAGTGGTTATCTATAGAGGCTGTGTGTGTGCAGGGAATGGGCTGGATGGAGTGCAGGGGCTTAAGAACTGCTTAATGTGTTCTTTTTAGAGTTTAGTATTTTATCAAGAAATTATATTTTAAGCAGTCCCTTCTTGGCTGTAGTAACCCACCATTTTGACAGAAGGCCCCAAGCACCTTAAGCACGTGGATGACGAGCTCCGTGTGAGCTCCAAAGGAGGAGGCTCCACTGGGGCTGGTACTCGAGAGCCCTCAGACTCCCACTGCCAGAGTGCAGTCTGAAGCAGTGTGGCCTTCTGGGATGCCAGGCTTCTGGGGGACACATAAAAGCATAGAAACAGGAAGCAGGGTTCCCTGTCTTTTTGGGGTGGGAGAACAGAGAAGAAGTGGGAATGCTCTGTGGGAAAATGTGCACACATGTTCCTGTCCCGTCAGGAACAGGTTCCTGTTCTGTGATTACAAACCTTCTGAATCTTGGCCATGGACCTCCCTGGGAGCTAAAGACCCCAAGCTGGAAACCCTTGGGCTGGAGAACCAGCACAACACAGTGTTATAGGCAGGTGTTCTGTGGCCATACTGCTGGCTGGAGTCCCTGCTCAGTCACTTACTGTGTGAGCCTGCATAAGGAGCCTCAATCTTTTTTTGTCTCCATTTTCTCAACTCTAACAAGATAATAAGTAATAACAGTATCCATCTGGGGTCATTGGTGAGATACCTGAGTTAATAATACACGTGAAGTGGTTAGGCCTTCAGTAATGCTGCTGGGCTGTTGCTATTAACGGTGTGTTCTTAGCAAAAATGTCTAGACCACAAAGTAGAGAAAACCGACCGCTTGAGGCCATCCCCTCATTGTGTTGTTTTTGGTTATGCTTAAGTAAAGTGTTTTAAAAATACATATTCAGCTTTTTAAAAAATGGAAGCTAAAAGTAACTCAATGTGAAGGTTTTGGCTAGAAGCACTGCTCATTTAGAAACATTTTTTAAATTGTGAAATGTAGCAGAGCAAAGTTTGTAAGACACAACTACCACAAATGAAAACAAAGCAAACATCCATGTAATTACCACTGTAGAGATGCTCCCAGCTCCCAGAAACCCATGTATTCCTTCCCCATCACCCCAAGTCACCACACAACTGAATTTTCTAGAAACCACAAACTTGTTATTTCTTGTATAGTTTTCTAACCCTAAACAATATAGTTGTCTTTGAGCTTTACATATAGTCACACTGCGGGACTATTACTCAACATTTTATCTGAAAGATGAATTCAGCTTTGAAGACGGAAAAGATGCTCGAGCCACTCATAAATAAATTCAAGACACACTTTTTAAAGAACCAAATTGCAAAAGACAATATGTTGGCAGAGCGTGGAGAGCAGCATCACAAACGTCACAATGAAAACTGGGCCACCCATAGAAGACTAGTTGGAAGTATCTATCAGTCCTTTAAACTGATACGGCAATTCCATTTTGAGAAACGTATCCCAGGAGGTTAAGTGTGGAGCTCTGGAGTCAGGAAAAGCCTGTGGGTCTTAGCATGCCAGTGCTCGGGACCTCCCAAGACTCAGTTTCATCCTCTAAGAGCGTAACACCACCGACCTCCAAGGGTTGTAGAGAGAACCAAATGAATACACGCAAAGCATTGAGCAGAGTCCCTGGCAAATATGAAACAATCCACACGTATCATTAATCCTCACTGTTAGAACAGGAAAAACAATTTGTAGAAGATCTAAACCAGGCGACGAGCTAAGCACACGAATGAAGAATAAAGGCAACACTGGTTATGACAATCCTTGGTAAATTTTCAGTGACTCACGATATAAGTCACACGCTCTGTCCTGCACACTTTTCTCAATGACACCCTCTCGTTGGAGGGCTGTGGGGCTAAGTCTGTAAGACTAAATAATGAAACAAGGGCAGGAGTTTAGGTCTGGGGTGGAAGGCACAGCTAGCAGTTTTCCCTTTCGGGCTTCCCTTGAGAATTTATCACAGATAATTTTCAAGAGCACTTGGCAGGACAGAAAACAAACCCCAAACAACAGGACCACAGGAAGCAGGAGCTCAACATGGGGAGTCACATTGGTTGTCGATAACACCTTGTGACTACACGTAAAACAGAGGCTTTCTCACTCTCTGGTCAAGAGCTGCCCACTGGGCACTAGAGCTGGGATATCATGTGAGTCTGAGGGACTGGCAAAGCAGCAATGCCCCCAAGTTGCCACACTTTCCAGGGAACCCGACACCCCAGGGAGCACTCCAGACACGCACTCTGCTGAGCCAGGGCCAAGGGAGCTGGTTCATCCATCTTCAGATGCCTCAGCTTTGATTCTATCTGCCATGCGACCCATCGTCCTGCTGCCATTGGTACAAAGGGTGTGCAGGGCTAAGCACTCCTGGCCCGACACCCATAAACTGGATATGCTGAGAACGTTACTCACTTAGTAAAACCACCTGCTTTTCTACTCATAATTATATCCCAAACATGAATCTTCTACCTCCACCCCAACTCGCCCCCAACAACCAAACAAACAAAAACACTAACTTTTGCATCCACTGCTCCTGTTCCTCTAGGTCTGGTCAAAGATTATGTGTACCCCGAACTGAGGTGGGGAGCGAGCAGCTCTAGCTCTGGTTCTGCTCGATTTCATTATCTGTCTGAAATACTGACTCCTGTGTCTGGCCTCTCAGATCTTTAAGGATGGAACAAACCTTGCTATTCCTCATGGATACAGACAAGGGAGAGCTTCTGTAGGTATGGCCACTAGCCCTGTGTGGTCCCTCAACCGAGAGAAACATTGCTCTAAGATAGCCACCAGGATGTGGGGTAAGAGCTGTACATATCTGTGCTAGACAAAGTCACCCTTTTTTAGAGTTACAATCCCTCCAACAATCTGATTAAAAATACCACCCTTCCTTAAAAATAAAGTTTAAATGCACAATCTACATGCAATTTCAGGAACCTCAAGGACGCCATGAGACAAGTAGGGGAGCCCCCTCTGGCAGAAGCCAGAACCCCACCATCGCCTTGGCTTCCTCAGTGCCTGTACCTAGTCAGTGTCTGGTGACCGATGAGGGAGAATTCGAGAATGATCGAGCCACCTTCAAGACAGAAAGTAAAAGTCAGGAAAAAACTTTCCTCACATTCTGGAACTCTGATGGCAAGAGATAACCTGTACCAGAAAATATAGGAAAGGATCAACATAAAGAAAAGAAATTTTTATCGAAAGAGCAGCGTAAAAAAGAACAGGCAGAGGCCAAAGGATGAATGAATCACCAAGGCCTGGTACCTGGGGGGTTGGTCCTCTTAGGCATGTTCTGAGTTTCTTCGGTTGGTCCAAAAATATTCGATGCCATCCTGTTGGGCCTGCTTGAAGGCACACCTTCTTCTGAACTTCCAAAAAGATCGCTCGATGCTCCTCCTGGGGGCTTCATGGCCCTGCAAGGAGACAGCAGGTATGAGTGACGGATGGCTGACCTGGACCTCACTGTCCGTAACTAACTAGACAGGGCACATGTACTTTCTTAATGTCTATGGAAAAATTACACACTGCAATTATTTTATATTGATGCAACAAGTTTACAGACAGCCATATGGCAAACTTCCTTTACTGCCCTTAAGAGTCCCTTAAAAGTTTCCTTTGCAAGTCTTGGTTATGCCAAAAACTCTCTGGAAATGTAAATACTCTTGAAATTATTCCTGGGACCTCTTATACTCTTATAAGTAAATTAAAGTATCCTTAAAACAAGCCAACTGAGCCACATTCAGTAGAGTTTAATACAAATTTTCATTCGTATACAGTAGTGTTTAATATTATAAACACATTCAGTGGTATTTAATGCTGGAGCTTACATTTGCTAAGTGCTTAGGATATGTCAGCTATTGTTCCAAAGACCTTACAAAACAACCCTCTAAGGCAGGCATTCTTTTCACAGATGATGAGTCGGCGATAGAGAGAAATCACAAGACAGATCACACAGGGAGTAGCAGAGCCAGATCCAAGCCCAGGCAATCTGGATCTAGAGCTCAGACTATGCCCTAATGCCTCTCTTAAAAGCCTCCAGAGGAAAAAAAGAGGGGGACAGCATACCATTTATCTAGATCAAGCCTGACCCCCAGAGCTGGGCCTTCAGAAGGGCCGCCACTGTGGCTAGTGAGCACTTGGTGTGGTAATAAGGACTCAGATGTGCTGTTAAGTGTAGGCTACATGCCAGATTGCGAAGACGAAAAGGCAAAATCTCTCTTTAATCTTCTTTTATATTGATCATATGTTGAAACAGTGCTTTTGTACACATTAGGTTGAATTAGATCTACTAAAATTAATTTTCCTGATTCTTTTTATTCTTTAAAATGTGGCTACTAGAAAACTTAAAATTCCTTATGTGGCTCACATTTCTATTGGAAAGTGTCAGCTTGCACCATGCAGAGTGTCCACAACATTAATGCAGGTGAGTCCTGGGAAGTTATATCAGGCTAATCATCTCCAGTCCTTATGTCTGGTATGAACAGTGAAATGTTCAACATCGAGAATCAGAGACCACACCTGCCAGCACCATTGCTCGTTTCAGATCACATATATGCAACGAGTGTCACCTCTGAAACACACTAGCCTTCTACGAGGGTTAGTTTTCATTAAACACCCACAGACAACAGTGGCATTGCCACTGCTCAGCCACCAACAGGAGTATCTACCTAAAGTCTCCATCTTTGGAACACTGTCACGCGTAACTGGGAGGTTTTAAAGTGGACATTTCAGAAGAGACAATCAGGACCTTGAGCCACTTTTTATTGAAATAACTGAAAAATTAATATAATTTTCACAAAGCTCTGCCCGGAAACCCCCTGAGGTTTGGTCTACTTGAGCAAAGCAGTGACACACTGAATTCACAGCATCTTTTCAAACACCTAGAAAGATTCTTTAAATGCATCTTAAAGGAGAGAGGGACCTACTGAAATAGATTTTTAAATTGGTGAGTGGCCCAGGCTCTTTCACTAGTCCTAAGCAACGGGACTGTCTGTGATGGTAGACATTTAGAAATAGATGAAATTGCAGAGCTCGACACACCATGAAAGCTACAAATCGAGGTTAGGCCTCACTGGAAAGCTATACAAACATTCACTGCCCACGATTTATTTCACAAAAAGAATAGAATTTTTAAAATGTTGTTTCTTTTAAAGGGCTAGAACGGGAGCTGGTCATTCACTGTAATTTAAAGTGAACAGAGTTCTCAGATTCCTTGGCTGTAAAGCAGGACTGCAGAAAGCACTCATCTGCTTTACAGAGGGCAGACAGCGTGCCAGCCCCAGCCTGGACAGAGAACCACAGGCCAGCCAGTCACTCAACAACACAGAAGCCAAGTGTGCAACTGGCAGGCTTGCAAATGGTGCTCAGAGTCCCCGTCTGCTCGTGAAGATGGGGAAGGTGGACTCCTGTTCAGCAGTTAGCATTTCCTTAAGATTTTGAGGAAGGGAAAAAAAATTACTTCTGTTTGAGAATAAAAATTTTTTTAACCAATAGCCAGACTTAAATTGGAAAGGGCTTAAAAGGACCATAGGTCATGCACTTTGTTGGTGGACTTGGTGAGGCCATCTGACTCCTGCACCCATTTATAAGTCACAGAGCCCTGGTCACAATGACAGTCTCCTTGGCTAGCTACAGCAGGTCCAACATGCTCGGATCTCCACAGCCATCTCTTTGAAAAGAAGGAATGAAGATCTGCAAATTTTCAGAACTGAACTGAATTTAACTAGTCTCATGCTGCCAGGAGTTAAAATTCCCATTTTACTGACTTATTAGACACATGGATCTTCTTTCAAACCCTCAAGTTCCCACATATTGTCAGATCAGATTCAAAGTGGACTCATCTTGATTTAAAGCTCTCAGGGCTCTTTCCTGACTCTCAACATTCTACATTCCTGGATATCCCAAGTCTCCTCAGCCTCTCGCCCTTGCTTCATTCAGATCAACTCATCGGTTTCCTGAGCACCTATCGCTGGCAAGCCTGCCTGCACCAGAGCCTGTGGATAGAAAGACGGATGAGACCAAGTCCTTGGCCTAGAGAATAAAGAAGCCTTAGGTTTACCAGGAAAGCTAGAGCTTTGCGTAGGTGGTTTTTGGTGTTCCGTGAGTTATGTGTCAGAGGCACTGAGAGTTACTGGAACTCAAAGACAAATTCTTGGAGGAGGTGAGGCCCAAACTGAGCCTGCCATCTCTGAGAAAAAAAGAGCAACTTTGGGACACTGGAGGTAAGCGATAGCTATTTGAAATGACGAAATGTTAAGTTGGGGTGGTGAAAATACAGTGCTTATTCTATTATTCTGTGTACTTTTCTGAATTTTATTTTACTTTGAAAACAAGGGAAGAAAAGGCGAGTGGTGCCCAAGAACACTGCAGCAGAGATTACCATGCAAGCTCCGCGGGAAGGAGCAGCGACCATCTCCATCACAAAGGCAATAGGGTACGCAGGAGGGGTTCACAGCCATGCAGCAGTCATGCAAATTGCACAAGCTGCCCCAACAGGGTCTCAAATAAATGGGACCAAAAGTTAAGCAGCCATTTCAATAAAAACAGACCCCCACAGCTCAATGTGGCTTCACTAGGCTCACATCAGTTATCACTATGACACTAGTTATTGGGCGGGAGTGGGAATATGGTGAGCTCGGCATTTGGAGACGAAACCACAATGTGGGGCTGCTTCCCAATTATTTCTCCCTTTTGTATTACCCCTTCAGTATCTTCCAACAAAGACAGTCCAAATACACAAGAGAAACTAAAGGGCATGTGACAAGAAGAAAAGCCACATACACAGCTCAGGCACTATGGCAGGGACAGAGAAAACAAGACCTAGAGGGGGGGTCTTCCCCCGTCCCCCAAGAGTTTGTTCCTGTGTCAGAAAAGCTTTTGGGGACTGGTCAGGTTCAGAGAGAAGCAGTGCAGCACCTTACAGCTTAAAGGAAAGACCTTAATGATGGCTAAAGCAAACTGCTTTTACAGTCAAAATCCCTTTAACACAAAATCATCCCTCATCACAAAAAGAAAAGACGTAGGTCTAAGAGAAGAAAAGCCGGCTGGGTGATTGTACAGCCACCACTTGGCTCCCTCTCTGAACAGTCAAATAAAGTGTACAGATCTAGCTAATTAAGTCCTTCAAGATGGCAGCCAGATGCGAAGCTTCCAATTACATTTAATCATCCAATTAAGAAGACTGCTTTTCCTTCTTCAATGTCCTGAAAGGGAAGATTTTTCTCCTTTTCATAATATTCTCTCCAAAAATGAATCTCCCAAAGAAGTGTGGAGTGCTACCTTAAGAGCACACGCTCTGCAGCTAAGCTAACGTCTGTAGCTCGAAGTCAGTATAACAAGTGTTACTCACGGTGCTCATTCGTTAATTCAACCAACATTTCCTGAGCATCCAGTGCCAGGCAGTGTAAACAAAGAGTGAATGTACTTAATGGACACAACTGAGAAAGTGCTAGGAAGAGGCCCTCGCCCAGCCGGTGTGGTTGTGCAGAGGTTACCAGGTACCAGAAACCTGACTCATCCTGAGCACTCCAGGGGAAACTTCTAGCCCCCTATCGGTGTAGATCCAGACTTGAGTGATGAATCGTCATTGTTGCATGGATTAATGACTAATTGTTTCATTAATGAATAATGACCTAACTCCCCTAAACTTACACGGGTTTTTAGCAAAGCGAAGCAATTTTTAGTTAGTATTTATCTTAACAGTCGTCACAAATACATCCTCTTCTATTCTGAGGCTGAGCCACAGAACTCACAATAAGGAAAACTCTTGGGCAACTGAACGCCCGAAACTCGAAACTCGACAGTGCAAGCTGGCTCCTCACCGGCTTGACAGACCTCGCCAGCTCTGGTAACTCTAATTTATCTGAGTTCCAATACACACAGAGCACTTTAAAGTTAAAAAAAGAAAGAAAGCGCGCTACAGTGTGTTCCGGAGTGGTGAAGCCCAGATGGAGGCCTGAAATGGGATCTCCGCTTCAGTCATTTGTAGTCCGGCCTGGTTCACCATCAGCAAAGCAGGGAGGGTACCGCCTACCTCTCGGACTTCGGGATTACGGGAGGCACCACCTACATCCTAGGGCTGCAGGATTAGGAGAGGGTACCTACCACCTGGCTCCTGGGCTGCGGAATTAGGGGAGGGCTCCGTCTGACTCCCGGGCTGCGGAATTAGGGGGCAGTTCGGGATTAGGGGAGGGATCCAGAATGGTGACCTTTGCCCGAAGCCCGTCTACGCGCGCGCCAGGCACAGGCACACACTCCAGGAGGGTGCCCTGCACTCCCTGCGGGTCCGCACACACACGCCTTGTCGGGACTCCGGGCACTGCCGCCCCGAAGCAGCAGACCACTTGGCCGGCGTCTTTCCGGTGCGCCATGGACTATAAACGCGCGCGGGAGGTGCACCTCCGGCCCTCAGACGAGACCCTGGAGGACACATCCCGCGTGTGCATCCATCTTTCCGACACCGACGCGTAGGCCGAGGCTCTGTGAGATCACCCGCCGGCCTCCCCGTCGGCCGCACCCCACCCCGCCCCACCCGCCCCAGCGCTCGCACCTCACCTGGAGCCTGCCCGGCTACCCTCGCTCTCCGGGCCCTGGAACATGTCGCCCACTTCTCGGCGTCTCTTCGCCTGCCGCGCCGCGGTTCCCGCCCGGCCCTGCGCAGCCCAAGGCCCGCTCGCCCGTGCCTATTGGGTAATGACGGCGCCAATCACGCCGCCGCAGCCTATAGAGGCACCAGGCCCCGCCCCCCGCCGCAAAGTCTTGGCGAGGCCGGCGCCGCGTTCGCACCCGATTGGTGGGAGCAGGGCCGCTGACGAAGACGGGCGCCAGCGTTGGGCAGCAGGCCGGCAGGGGGCGGGCTGCCCCTGGGATGGGTTGGTGTAATAGGACGTAGGTTGGCCGTGGCCTAGCCCGGCCTCCAGCCCCGCCCCCCCGGCGAAATCGCTTTCTGGGTCTGAGCGGGCGAGACCTGACCGACAGCCAGAGAGTACAGGGTTGCGGGTGCCGAACATTCGCCTTAGGAACCCGAACACGCGGGGGATGGGAATGAGAGGAATAGGGCAAAGTCTAGTCTTTCTTTAGGCGGCAACCTATGCCTGAAGGCCACTGACGCGCTGCTTATTCTTAAGCAATGTGGGAGGGGATGTGTGGAGTTTGCAAGCCAGTCAGTGGCAGGTGCGGTCGTTGGCAAAAGGACGTTAATCTGAATTATCTTTTCAGGATTCAGCAGTTCCTCTTTCTTGGCCAGTCCTGGCATGTAGAAGGGCAACTCAAAATACATACTCATAAATAGGGAGCAAGGGATAAAGTGCGCCATTTGCCCTATTTCTGATTCAACAAACAAAAAACAGCCGGCAGTGTTTTGTTGCTAAATTATACTCTGGACAGCCCATCTATTTTTCTAAGAGCTCAAAAAATAGGAGCCACTTGAGCTGTTTTTTAAGTGCACACTTAAAAAAACAAACAAAAGAGCAGAAACAATAATTATTAGATCAAGTATTAGTATGTATTTATGCATAATAATAAAAACAGATTTACAAGTTAAACTGGAAATTTAAACATAAGTTTAACAGCTTTTGTTTATTATATTAAATAACCAAAACACCTTTTATTCCCAAAATTGGTAAAGAATAAATAATGTAATTTACAATATGGTACAAAAAAATAATCAGGAAGGGCAGGGATTCTGCTTTATACATACACTATATATGCATATTTATAATCTATAAAACAAATTCACATCTCAAACAAGCCGAAAACCTTAGATGATATGGCTTAACAATTATTAAAAGAAACAGCAATACGTTCTGCTGCCCAGATCGGCTCTGGAGCCGGTTATCCTGTTAACGAACGAAAGGTACAGGTTGCTGTAGTGCTTCCAAGACTGAACTTACTTAATGTGATGTACAGATTACTGTGGGGTTAGGAGAGCTTCGACAGTCAGGAAAGGTTTGCTGTGGTTTCTTTCCCTTTTTTTTCTTCCTTAAGACAAAGTGCCCTATTTCTTCACAAATGCATCCGATAGATTGTAATGTCTTAAAAAAAAACTACGAAAAAACAATAACAAAAAAACCCCCAGCAGCTGCTGTTCTCCTCCAGTGTCTTTTATTCCATTACTGTTCTCTGCAAGAGTTTGGAGTCAATGGTGTGATCTAGGTAAAGATGCTATTACACTGAAAAGGACACCCACCAGGAGTGAGGCCGTGAGACAGAAGGATAAAGAATGGGATTCTGAGGCTGAGAACCCAGAGATGTGGGAAAGCAAGTAGATCAGCTGATGAAGTGTTTCCAATTATCCCCACTCCCTGAGCAAGTACTCTACACATACAGAGAGATGAAAAAATGTCGTCATCACAAACCTCAAGGGGAACCGTGAACTTCAATCTGCCTCTGCGTCTTCTAAAGAATGGAATGCTCACCACTAGAGAGTCACACTAAAAATCAAGTCCAAAACATCAATGCCCTTGAGACCAGAGATAGTCTCAATCTTTATAAAAGATGAATCAGCAAAAAGATCCCCGACAACCATAGAGTGACCAGGGAAAGATGTTTCCGAGAAACTGATCTGTTCTTAATTACAACATGCTCATCAAATGCACAAAGGAAGCCACAGGTGCGTAGTGAGATACAACTTCTGCTGGCAGGCAGAGGAAGATGCAGGAGGTGGGAGGCTTCTCTGCTGGTATCTTTTGAAAATTCCAGCCTGTAACAGTTGCTTATTTTTATACATATATATTCACTTAGGCTGGGGAAAAAAACGCATCCATCGTTTGAATGCTACAAATGACACCATTTTCCTTAATATGGCAAGCAAACACTTATATTGGGCGTCTGGTTGCTAGAGAAGCAGAATTCTCTGGAATTATGTGAGCTTTATTACAGGTGAGAAGTCAGTCCATTCTCCTCCCTCACCCATTTTCCCAGTGGAAGACACTGGCCAGTCGGCTGCTCCCTAATGGAGTTTATGCCAGTTTATGGCAGGAGGTGCTGCTAAATAGCCCATAAGAGCTGATCTGAATCTCTGGAGTCTTCCTCCTTTGAGATGTCATTGGGTAACAGGTGCCAACCTACCCACGAGACTGTCTCAGGGTGTCCCGATGGACAAGCAGCTCAGAAGCCTTACAGTTTCTGGCACGGTACACAATGCCAGTGGGCGTCACACCCAGCACTGGTGCTGTAATGTTACTTGGCATCTCTGGTCCCAGACAGTGGGGGGGGTATGAGAAAGCTAGTCGTGGCCTAAACTTGGCCTGGTCTCCTAACCTACTGCAGACCTAACAAAGTCAGATGCCCAGCGAGAAGCAGAGAGAGACCTGATCTTGTTCAGCCCAATAAGGTGCTAATTTCAGGAAGCTGATATACTGCTCACAAAACACAAGCTAGCTTAAAGATACTCTGGTTCAAACAATGCTGCCTACATCTCTTTATAAAGTGGCACCATGTCCCTTTCTTTCGTATTTCCACAGCTTTGGGAATTTTCTTATGAGCCCAGAAGGCTTTTCTTAATGTTGCTTGTGCCTAGAACCAGATCTGAAAGAAGAAATCCACCTTGGAGGCAAGAGCTCACGAGACAAAGGAAGGAAGCTATTGCTTGGAAACCAGCTATCCTCTGCTTCCTCGTGGCTCGGAGTGAATGACCCTGTTTGCAGCCTAGAGTGGCTGCAAATGACTGGTGAGGCTATGGGATCAAGAGCGTCCACTCTTCTTGCACATGAGAAAGGCCTTTCTCCCCTTTTCACACGGGGACAGGGAGAGAAGCCCATGTAGAGGGCCAGGACCGGCCTCGAGGGCTGCCATTCCATGGCCAGTGGGGGAAGAGGAAAGGTGAGCAGCAGAAATCGTCGCCGGTTCAGGTGGGTGATCCTGTCTGCCGGGGGAGGGTGATGCAGCAGGTGGGATGGTGGCATGGGCATGACTGGCCCAACACCAGGGCACTGGCTCCTGGCCACATGGATGTGGCTGGACGGTGTATTATATGTTGAGTCTCCCAAGGCTGAACAGGCACATGAGTCTGGACCATCTGTAGTGGTGACTACTGGTCACCCAGGGAGGCTCACAAATGTGGTTTGTGCTCTGACTATGCCTGGACGTCTGACCCTTCCCTGCATTCCTTGAACAGGAAGAAAAATAGGAGACCATGGGGCAAAAGAAGATGCAATGGATTAAACTCATGCATCGTGACGTGCTCTGCTCCAAGACCATTGAAAGGAAGAGGAGACTGAAGGAGAGAACCATCCCTGCCACGTCCATTTGTCTCAGATGCTAAACAGTAACACATCAGAAGTTCAAGGACTCATCAGGAAAAGTCTTAACTGTAGTCAAACGAGTGCTTAGAGGTCTTCCCAATAGAGAGAAGTAACATCATAGATCATCTACAAGAAACTTGCAGATGGATACAGGAAGGAAACCAACTAAACTCTGTTCTTCCTCTTCATTGTCTCCTAATTCTTAAAACACAAGAAAAACATTCTGCCACCAGCATAGCAGGATTTTTTCTAAAAGTCCACACAACCTGCATAAGACATGGTTCTTTCCCCTTCCTGTTCAGCTGGTCAAACAAACATTAAGTCTAGATGGGGAAGCACTAGGCAAGGATCGGTACTCCTGGGGTGATGGCACCAGTGACGCTGCCCTGGGACCCTTCTGCTGCCAAGTGATCAGTGTCTACTGTCTCAGGTGCAGACACCACCAGGCAGAGCCCAGCCCGGCCCAGCTGGCTGTCCCACCTCCTTCATCACTCTGCAGAGAAGTAACCAGTGTGGCACCGGTTTGGCAGAAAGAAAGCAGCCGTGGCCTGGGCACTCCCTGCAGAGAGCTGGGAGGTTACAACTACCCAGGAAGCAATGACTATGCCAGGGCACACCCATTCCTTTCTCTCAGGAAGAAAACCCACTGGACCACCCAACACCGCAACCAACGCCGAAGTGTGGATGGAAATGTGGTCACTACAAAGTCCCTAACTTGAGACCCTATGACTGGCGAAGAACTGCTCCAAGGCCACAGCGATTTCTGATGTTGGCCCTTCCAGAAATCGTCCTTATCTCCCAGGCCACCACTGCCCTCTGCCTGTTGGGAAATGGCTTCCAGCATGCTGTACGTTCTGGAGTGCAGAGGTGTCTATTCAGACTGTCTCCTGGGGGTCCTGGGCTTGGTTTGTTTCCTCTTGTCTGAAGAGGGTTACACCTACCACAGACAGCTGAGGCCCACCAGCCCTGTAAGTCCTCCTCTGTAGCCTCCAGGATGTCCCAGCCACGAGGTGCGGTCACTGGGATAGGTCAGTGACAGGGGGGCCACCTCCACTGCCATCAAACAGAGCCTCTCGGCGACTGGGCTCGGTGATGGACAACTCTTGGGCCAAATCATTGAACCGAGATATGTAATCGACGCTGTTTTCATTCATCATGCACACCAGCTGGGAATCCACGACCTGCGAGCAGAGGACACAAGGCAAGATGATATCAGCTGGCAGCTGGCCTGACATTTGGACTGGAGGTGCCACTGGGACTTCAGTGGAAGGCAAATGAACCTGGGGTCTCTACAGTGAAGATTAGAGCCTCCCATCAAATGGCCACGTAATGTCAGCACAGCGCTCTGGGGGGAAACTCAGAATCACCTGTCGTTTTGAACTCTCTTTTCACAAGTGTGAGGGGAGCTGACCATGAACCTGGCACATCAGGTTGCCGGGATCAGAGTGGTGGTTCCTTCCACATGAGACTTGTGTGTGGGGGGGAGACAGTCAAACAAACAGGCAGATGGCACAGAGTGGATTGTAGAGACTGTGGGGTGGCCCGAAGGAGACGCAAGTGGAGAAAGAGGACAAAGGCTGCCATGGGGTGGGAAGCACATGCCTGTCAGAAGAAATAGCATGTGCAAAGGCCCTGGGGTGGGAACAGGCTTTGGCTCTTTCAGAAATAAGAAAGCTGGTGGATATGACAGTAAGTACAGCAAAGAATGGAAGATGAAGAGAGAGAGAGACTCGAGTGTGTACAGTAGGGCCTCAGGTACCGGGATTTTTTTCTGTGGACCAATATGCAGAACATACAGTCTTCAGGGTTTACTGTATGCCTCCTTCGCTGGAGTGGAAGCCTTAGGAGAATGGGCCTTTGTTTTGTGTACTCAGAACAGGCGCGAGTGGTCAAGTTCAGGTGTAAGGTTGGGCGCTTACCTCTGCTACATCGGCCAGGGACCTGGATACAAACGAGTCTCTCGAGTTTCCGTCCAGCAGGCTGGGGCCCAGCAAGGAGGTGCCGCTGTGGGTCCCGACCGGAGTCGGCAGCATCTTCCGGCCCTTCTCCGAGGAGATGAAACTTGCTGCCAAGAGGAGGAGGAACAAGCCCTGAGACCAGGCGTGGTTGGCACTGGGCCAAGGGGAGAATCCTGAGGGCTGCAGGCGGCTGTGAAAGGCCGAGCAGGCGTCCACCCACATGCCCCCCAGCTTCTCCTAGATGGGTGGCCTCGGAGGGTCCCCAGTAGCACTTGTAAGTCGGACTCCTTTTTCCAAGGGTCCCCAGTGCTCCTGGAAAAGTGCTGTCTGGACACCACCCTCACCTCCATCTAAGGTGGTTTGCAATTTTTTCATGATTCGTATTTGGCTTTGCAGAGGTCTGTGCTGTTCAATAGGATTCTCCTAACAGGAGACCCTCATCCGGTGCTGGCTCTCCCCATTACCCAGACCAGGGCTCGTGTTCGGAGCCGTCGGGTGTGCGCCCACACAGAGTGCCAATCCTGTTAACATGTGTACTGCACACCCGTCTGGGGGGCAGTCTCGACGGCCATGTCAATGAACACCCTGGGGCTGGGCTCCAAAACGCAAAGTGCACGGATCCCAGAGGTGCCCCAGCAGCCCCTCCTACGTAGGACATTGACGGTGTGTCTTTCCCCATCCCCCTCCCACCACACGAACACCTGGTGCCCAGTGAGGATGAACACATCCCATGAACACGCTGATCTGTGATCAACACACCACAAGACAGTCGGACTCGCCACGTCAGAATACTTTACTGAGAACAGAAAAGGGGGCAGCTAACAGCAGAAGGCCCCAGTGGGGGAGGGGCCGAGACACCTGGCTGAACTGTAGAAGGGCCCAGGGGACAGTGTGGGACATGGATGTGGGCTACATCTCAGCTGGGCTGTGGGTTACAGACTGTCATGTTGCCAAAGCTCAGTGACTGCACACTGGAAATCTGGGCGTTCTCTCTTATATAAGTGATGCAGAAAAAATAAACCCTGGAAAAAGAGCAAACAGTCCTAGTGGGAGTTCTGCCAGAGAGCAGATAGAACCCAGACTCCAGGCCCCCCGCCAAGCTCATTCCCTGCTGGTCTGGGATGGAGACCTGGGAACCCTCCACAGACACTCACCAAACAAGCTGCTGAGCGATGAGTCCGTGGGGTCACTGGGGCACCACTGGGGGTCGTGGGTCGGGGAGGCGATCCAGTCGGGTTGGGGGCTGCTGGATGGGGAGGGAAGGCTCTTGGAACTGTCACTGCCGTTCAGTTTTGCTGGAGAAAGAGGGACTCCTTCACCTGTCAACCAAAACCCCAGGTCAGAGATGCCATGTGGGGTGAATAGCACCCCGCTTTCCCAAACTTCCGCTAAGGCAGCGGGACAGCACGGCTGTGCTGGTAAACTCTGGAGACCCAGGACCCTGCTGGGACCTCCAGAGGATGAACAACACTGGTCCACAAAGGGGGTCCCCCCGCACCAGGGACATGTGCTCATCTTAGGGAATGACAATGGCCGTGGCCATCACTGATGGAGCCAGCCCTGTGCTGACAGCGTCACCTAAATCCTCTCACCGCTGCTCACAGCAGCCCCGTGAGGTGATGCCATCCCCTGTTCACTGCTGAGGAAAGTAAGGCTCACAGGAGCCAGTGACCTGCCCACGGCCACATGCTGCCAAGCTGGGAGCTCAGCTGTCTGAATCCATGGCCGGAATCAAACCAGAGAGCAGCAGCCACACCCCTGCTACCAGGACATCGGCCCAGCCTCCTGGAACCTGCAAAACCTGCAGGTGTCTACCCAGGTTGAGAACCAGCTAGGATAATGTCCCATCTGATCCGCGGGCCGGAGACGCCATGTGGGCCGGCTCTCGGTCAGTCTCAAGGCCAAGAGCAGCTCCACCAAAAAAGCGGCAGGTCCTGTCCACCTGTGCTGCCTCTGCTGGGCCAGGCCATGTAGGTGGCAGGTGCTTAATATGCAAAAGTGAGAGCCGGGTGGGAACATACCCAGCAGGTTTGGCAAATACTTAGGTGGGACGTCAAGGGTAATTCTGGATCCCCCCGTCCTGACAGGGAGTGGATTCCAGAACGGGGGTGCAGGGGCGGCCTGCTCCATACCGTACTGGCCAGAGCTGATGGCGATCTCAATGATGGAGTCACTGATGTGCGTGGCAGGCTCCCCCTGCGAGAGCACGTCCTCGGGTGGGCCGGGCAGGGAGATGTCCAGCAGAGCAGAGACGTTAGGTGGAGAGAGCCGGGTGCTGGCGCTCTCTACCGAGGGCAGTGGGGTGGAGAGCCCATTGTGGAGAGGAGCCTTGGACAGCTCAGATAAGGAGAGGACAGGTGAACCCTGGTGGGAGATGAGGACTGTTCATACACAATTCATTGACCAATCCCTAATAAGGAATGAAAAATCAACCTCGGACCCACAAAGTGGTAACCAAGTGATGAGCAAGTCAACAGAGAGGTGATGACCTCCACAGGCACCTCCTCCTTTCCAGTAAGAAACACCCTGGGGGCTTTACTTCTCCTGGAAACCATCCAGGGATGCAGGGTTGAAGGCCAGGCAGAGGTAGCCTGGACCGGCTTCCCCTGCCCACAGGACAGCTGGTAACACCTGGGCAGGAGGTGAGTGTCAAGGAAAGCTACCGGCTGACGACCTCCTCCCCTTGGCCCAGGAAACCGAGTCCTTCCAGAACTTTGTCTGAATCAGCCCTCCTGACAGAGGGGAGGAAAGAGCCTGAGGTGGGAGGTGCATGCTCCTCCATTTAGGTACGGTGAGCAGAGGGAATAAGCCACTGGGTGTCTGTGTGTCCTTCCCACATCCTGGCAGTCCAGGGCAGGACCCGGAGGATGGGGAGGTGACACTGCAGGGGGGTCCTGGGACAGCTACTTTGCTCAGCAGCCAGCAGCACACTCTACCTGGAAACTGTCCGTCACTGGCTCCTGCTCAGGCCTGGAGGGGACACTGATGAATGGGTCGCTTGTGCCCTACAAAAAAAGAACACCAGGAATGCCAGTGAGCCCCTACACACAGGATGCGCGAACTCCGCCGGAGGGCTCGCCGGCCACCAAGCTCCCAAAGAAAGAGCCACTCCACTGCCCGGCTTCCTGACAGGAACCCATCTCAGTTTGGGTTGGAAATCTGTGAGGACAAGCAAGCCCACCGCTTCCAGAGGGTGGGCCACCAAATCCCTGAAGTTAAAGATTGTCAGGTCAAAACCTCGGAGTCCTCAGGCAGGGCTGGGCCGTGGAACCAGGGCAACCAGAGCACTGCGAGAGTTGGGGGGCAGTGACAGCTGGGGGTCATGAGGCCCACAGCTGGCCAACCTGGTTTAAGTTCTTTCTCAGACCAAGCTGACATCTGAGAAGTCTGCTGATGATCAGGCCTCCTTGCCTGTCTTAGTTCTAGAATCTCCAGTGTCACCCAGCAAGCCTGTCCCCAGTCTGCTGCAGCTTTCCCCTATGCGCCATGCGGCGCTTGCTCATGCCACAGCCTCCCTGGTGGAGTGACTCTCCTCTGGGCCATGAGGCCCGTCTCCTCTGGGGGCAGAAATGGAGTCCAGCATGACCTCAGCTCCATGGTCTTCGCTGCCATCCCTCTGGAGAGCAACTGACCCATCCTGAAAGCTGGTGGTCACTCAGAGAAGCCCTTCTAAATACTCACCCCCACGGTGGGGATGGGGTCTCCATTCTGGTGGGCGCCAGTGGAATCCTGACCCGAGAGGGCAGCTGTTGCTTCATCTGAACACAGTGGCGAGATGCCAGACAAGCCATCGGTGTCCAAGACAGGGAGAGGGCTCTCAGGGATGATGCCAGCACTCGTAGCTGCTAAGTCAACAGCACCTGGCAACAGAAAGGACATTGCCCATCCGAGCTCTATGGACACCCCAAACATGCCCTACGGGGCTCACGGGAACAGCCTCTCCCTCACGTCTCATTTCAACGCAAGGTCGACGGCTTTCCTGTTCTCTCTGGAAGGTAATGAGACAGCATGGCTTGGGGAAGAAGAAAACAGAAATGTCACTCTGAACCCTCACATGCTATCTGTCACCATGCTGGTCACAGAAACTTACTGGCCAGGTGGCCCGTGGCCTGGGGCGGAAGGACCTTGGGCATGATCGGCCGAGACAGAGCCGCTTTGGTCAGGGAGGACTGGATGGGCCGGAACGAGCCTCTCCCTGTGAGGACAAGAACAGAAGCACCCCTATCAACCCTGTGTGCCCCCAGTGCCCTCTGGCTGCACGGCGAGGACTACGGAGGGTTTGCTTCACAGCCACGGTCAGGACCACAGAAGCTGAGCCAAGGGAAACCACTGAGCATCCCCAACACTTGCTAACTTAAGGAAGTCAGAAGTCAAACAGGCCCCAGATGAAGAGAAAGATCTGGCAGTTGTGATGGCAGCACCACTGTACCTCCCAGGGGGCTGAAAGGCTGTGGTCAGTACTGTCATCCCAGGTGGATGGCCCTTTAAGGGTGACGGGCACCCGAGGTAAGCTACAGGCTCCTGTAAGGCAGTCAGAGCATCAAATCATGGACCAAGATTCTGCCTCTGCAATTGGGCTCTTTCTTACTAAGCTCTCTGCAAGTGAAAAGGAGGTATGAGAAAAAGCAGTCAGTAGCTGCCTGGGTCCTGCAGTAACGAAATCTGAAATGTGAAAAATCAAGACTGATTTAAAAGACAAGACACCGAGTATGTGTTTCACCAAACAATTCTCACTGTTTAAGGAAATTTACTTCGAAGAGCCAGGGCCCCCATTGACCTTAGAGACCTATGAAGGCCTGAGTTGTATACCCCAAGGTCACATCTATTCTGTAGAACACCTAACAAGACATTAGAGAGAGAGGGTGGACCAGATGCACCCCTAAACCTAACTGCGCAAAGCATCCCCAGCAAGGCGGCCTGAGCCCACCTTTGAAGGAAGTTGCCTGTGTCCCACCTGTCAGAGGTCCACGCCTCTGCCCGCACCATGGCCCGGGCCCAGCACAGGGCCACACTCAGTGTTTGGTAACAGAATAGACAAAGGAATGCTGGGAATGTCACTCCAGGAGCCACGGAAGCAAATGCCTGCCATTCCCAAAGACGAGGTCACAGGCGAGTAAAGAGCAATGAAAAGCCAAGCTGAGGCGCCCCATGCTTACCAGTTATGGAGGAATTGGACAGGATGGAGAAGGAGCAGACATTGTGGGACTGGTTCTCAGATGGTCTAGGAAGCAGGGTTCTCTGTGGAGGGAAGACTGCCAACAATCAGGTGATGCAATGTCACTGAGGAAACCAGCAAAGAGCTATAAAGGGACATTTCCCGTAACAGGGAGCTGAGTGCAATCAGATGGGGGTTCTGTTTCTAAGGCTGATGACACAAGGGCTCCTGGGACAGCCTGAGGACGTCTACATCCTGTGGACCCCAAGTGATGAACATGGGGTCCTCTCTGAAAAAAACCCCAAGGGAGCAAACTTTTCCCAGGGAAACTGGAGGAATGTCAGAACGATCCACTGTTCTGGGTTTGGCTGGAATACAACTAATCATATATCTGTTTATAACCACTCGAAATGGACTGTTAC